AATATGCAGTTTTGGTGGTAGGCGCTACTCATAAATGAAACTGAGACCTGGGCCTTGCTCTCAGGCTTATGAATGACAGTAAACAAAATAAAAAGGGAAGGATGGATGGCATGTGGTGAAAGAGGAAGATCGATGTAACAATCCACTGAAGGAAATCTCCCACTTCCCCTGGTTCTGGTGGCAAATCTCTTAAACCCACACTGTCCTCACACCCAGGCAAAGCACAGGAATTAGTGAACAGCTCACTTAAGCACAGTTCAGGGGATTAAAATCAAGATAGTTAATTATATGGGTGGTGGGAGGAATAAAAGGAAGTAGGATTAAAATAGGTAAACAGGAGAAGGATGGGGAACGGTGGATAGCAGCAACCAAAAGAGGGCAATAGTGAAAGCTGACCCCACTTCCTCCAAAACCCTTAAGACTTGTTGCACCAGTAAGACCAGGAAAAAAAAGGAAGCTAGCACCTATGCCACCCCGTTAATATATACTACTTTCAGGGCTATAGCAGCCACTGGCGGGGAAGACACCAGGCTCTTCTTCACTCCTAGCATGAAGCAGCACCAAGAAAGGAGCATGGAGCACCTCTAATCTTCAGATAAATCTCTGCCTCCATCAGATAAACAGTGGGGTGATGCCCATTCTCCCAATTCCACCATGGCATCCCCAGCTGCCTGCAGCAGACCATCAACGGCATCCTTGGGCCTTTGGTCTTGATGATATTAAGATGAGAATTACTCCCTCAGTACTTGGAATTTCTGAGCACTCTGCATTCTCCTTGGATCAGGGCCATCTGGTTTGGTTCTCACCTTCTCCAAGATCTTAACTCTTATATGACATTTGGTCTGGCAATGCCAGAACTAAATGGTGAACCCTTAATACATATTTTTATGTACCTGACACTGATCTAAGTTGTTTTTGATGGGGACAAGTGGACGACTGTGCAGCAACTTTTAGTCTTCTGGTGAAAGAACTCTCTTCCTCACTACCAAAGCTACAGATAAATGTGAAGAGCCCAGAACGTATCTATGACTGGCTGATACAGACTGAGCCGATGTTTAATTTTCTCAAAAAAACCATAATGTGACTTTTCCTAACATGGCTGAAGACAGCTCCGAGTGCTTTATGAGGCAAATGCATTCACCATATGTCATGCAGTCAATTGTCAACATTCCAAGGGGAATATGCATCTGCAAACACACAATGAATATGTCTTGAAGAGCACATTCAGCTGTAATTTCCAGCTGTGCCCCCACTTCATATTTACAGATCTCTTTCATTTTCTTCAAATATCACACTGTTTACCACATGGATATGTTCAGAATGTATTTGCTGTGTGAAGAGGCCATCTAACAGGGCAGAATTTAAAGACACAACTTAGTGGAATGTATGGCACACTGGGTATCTTGGAGAGAATATCTATAATAATTTTACATGGTTATCTAGTTATACACTGAGCTCCTTTTCTCCCACAATCCCAGCAATGCGAAGCAGTCTTATAAATAGCCCGATGCTTGGTGAGAATGAAATCCATCATCTGACAAAGTCTGGCGTTATAGCTACTCTACCACTATATCCTGAGACAGAAGTTGCTAGCAAAAGGTACCATTATTGCAATCAGTTATCACTGCATGGCTCTGAACTCCTCTGCTCATTTCACTGTGAAAACAGTAATACTATCAACAGATTACATACTAGTCTTTAAAACTAGGCATCCGGCAAGCTACAGCTAAGGTCTTGGAGTAATAAGCAACCTTCATCACACTGAAGGTCTGACAGTTGTCCCTAGGTCTAATTGAATGCATTCTATACATGCACCCATTAATTCCTCATATTCATGGCGTAACGGATAGCACAGTTCAATATTTTGCATAAAAATCACATTTCAAGTGGCACCTTACTGATCCTGTTTTAGACAAAAAAACCCAAAAGAAAGTGTTTGTGACAGCACTGAAGGATGCTTTGTATTCAATCTTTCATGCCTCATAGCTCTAATTTTATGTTATGTCAGCAGTGTAATGTTAAAAAACTGCCTGTTAAACAGAACTGAGACATTTAACCATTTCCTACATTTCTGCAACCATTCAGCAGCATTTCATAAACTTTATTTTCTTTAAATGTTAATTGCACACTTAAAGGTTAGTTAAGTGAAGATATCGAACTACAGTGCCCTTTCTTGCATACCAAAACATAACCTTTCTTTCTTGTCTCAAAACATCTCATTAAGTCAGTCAGGTTTACCCACACTTGGCTTCTCCATTATTAAACCTATCATAACATGTACAGATTGGTTCCTTGTCAAATTCAAGCACATACTGCATAGACACCATTATTGCTGATACATTTCCAAAAGTTTTGATTCTAGGGCAGTTTGTTAAATTTAGTGGTACAGTGGATGACACAGGTGGCTCTGTTACACTTATCAGATCTTCCTTCTGTCCATCTAGCCTACTACTTACTGGCAGCAGCACTTGAGAACCTGCAAATGATCTTCCTATCATCAGTGACATGATCTTTTTTAGCTGAAGAAGCCAGGACGTTGGCCTTTGACTAAAAAGCTTGCACTCTATCACTGAGCTGTTAAAAGTCCTAGTATAAGACAGGCAGCTACAGAGAAGCGGACCGAGGCTACTTTGTACAAGATACCTTGCTCAAACAAAGCAGAGGAGAAGGGTTACAAATGCAATCAGTTCCGAGTTTCATCGCCAGCTCATGTTAGCTGGCCAGTTCATTTATTTATTTCAAGCATTTTCTATCCTTTCTTCAGCCTCTTAGCACTCCCAACTTTTTCCCACAGAGGAATCCAAGGGAACATTCATGGCCTTCCTCCTCTCCTTTTTCTCTTCACAACAACAACAACCACACTGACATGAAGGATAAACTGAGAGCTGGTGACTCTCATCTCATCTCATATTATCATATCCTGCTGGTCTTCAACAATAAATAATATTATTAACCTTCATGCTTGCTTTTACGTTTTGTATTGCCAACTTTTAATGATATTTTAATATTTTAATATGATGTGCTTTGTTATCTTAATGTACTTTGTGAAAGTCCCAGGGAGCTTCAGCTATTGGGCAAGATAGAAATTAAATAGCCACTTAAAAATAATTGATAACTGCAATCCACACACATGATCTTCAACAACATACCATTCTGATATGTCACCTTCAAAGATACCATATTCCATTCCCCTGCATATACACCAGTGAGCCATTATTTCATGGTCACTGAGCTGCACCATTCCTTAGATTCCCTGAGCTCCCCATAAAACTCCTTCCTTAGACTCTTTTAGCCGCCCCATAAAACATTCCTGCAAATCTGCTATTTACCCACCTCCATGGTGGTTCATTCATTTGGTGGCTCATGATAAGTGTGATTTCCATAATCACTACCAGGATGTATGTTGCCCAAAGCCAGGTGACACGACTTACTGGGACAAGGAAGAACTGCACAGTAACACTAGAAAAACCCATGATTATTCTAGTGTTCTTCCTCCTACAAAATGGCTAATTTTGAACATGTGAACTGGCCTCTCCATTGCTGATACCATCAGTTCTATTCTCTCACAATAAGAAGAAACTTGTTCTTTTGTCCCTGTTCTGTAGACATTTTCAACAGAGCAAAACATAAGTGTAGGCTCCTCAGAAGCTTCTTCTGAGTCAGAACACTGGTCTAACTCAGTATTTTTCCCCTGACAGCTACTTTCCAGCATTTTAGAAAGAAAAATTTCCCAAGTCTAACTGAAGATTAACCTGAGGTCCCCCTGCATGTAAGCTTCATGCTTTAACATTCGGTATAGTCCTGCATGCCTTAAGGCAAAAAGAAATTGAAAAGTTCTCTTACTGGTTACAAATATTCTAACAATTAATATAATTATGCTGGTAGATAAAAGGACTGGGTCTGATGCTTCCCAAATACAGAATTCCAAGGTGGTTATCTCAGGCACTGTATCTGAACTAAAAGAAGAGGAAGGGTAAGAATTCTTTCCTGAAAAAATTAAGGCCAACAAGTCCCAAGATAAGTCATGCAGCTGCTGAGAACCAGAGCACAGTTGTTTTCCCGGGAAAGCATCATTTAACAAGCAGGGTCAGACAGCATGGGATATAATTTAATAAGTCTGAAAGTTCAGTGACAGCTCAAGTGAGTTATGCAGTTTAGTAACATCTAGTGTTCTGTCCATCTGCCCCACAAGGGGTGGGAACCTCCCCAAGGGTGGAGCACACTGTTGTGTTAGGAACAGAAATTCAGTTTAGAATCAACTTCTTGACTTGAGGAGTAATGTCTCTCATTAGCTGACTCAATAACTAGCTGAACTGTCTTTTTTTAACCTCTGCAGTACTCCGGAGGTGTTGCAAGGCCAGTCTGGCTGTCGCACTTCACCCCAGTAAAGTCTATAATTAGTAGCCTTTCATCACGATCTGCTTGGAAGGCCAATCGTATTTTTCTTTGGGTACAATTATGGAGTAACAATATTGACATTCCTTGTTGTCAACCTTCTAGAAAAAAGCTAATGAAAAAGCAAGGAATAGGGGTGTTTGTATGATTAAACCCATCGTTATTTTTTTAAAATAATCCCTACTAGTAGGATCAGGGAACTGCTTCTCGGGAAACACGCTTGGAATTTCATTCATAAAACACAGACTTTGGACTATGATAATTTCTGATGAAACAAACATGATGAAAGCTGTGGTAATGAATTTTAAATATTTTAAACTTAAATATTCTGGGACTTAATTGGGCAGACACCATTTTCAAATTTTTGCTTTGCTACAAAATGCCTAGACTTTATATACCAATTAATTATCAAGTTCGTTGTTAAATTATATTCAACATGTACTCGATGAAAGAACAGTTGCCAGAAGAAAAAGGTTCTAACAGGTAGAACTAACAGATAACTGAAAACTTACTTGTCACTGAATTCTGAAAGGAAAACCTTGCTTATTATTTTATCTCCTGCCCTTCTAAAGTACCACATTATCGCACAATATTTATTTTCTTTTTTCTTCTTGCAAGAAACCCAATGCAGCTGACACGGTTCTGCTCCTTTTCATTCTATCCTCACAATAAATGTCCTGTGACTGAGAGTAAGTGACTTGCTCATAGTCACCCAGTGAGTTTCATGGCCAAGTAGGAACTGGAACCCAGACCTTGTGAGTCTTGGTCCAATACCCTAACAACACAAAACAATATCAAAAAATAACAGCATAGAGTGCAGAAGCATATAAAATCAAGCAAGCACCAAAACACAAAAATAACCCGGTGATCAATCACAACAAGCAGTAAAGACAAATCAATTGGATAGGATAGCAAGAAAGAGGTGGCTAAGTATGTAGCAAGGAAGTTCCAGAAGGGAAATGCAGTCACTCAAAACACCCCTTGCATCTCTCCCTACCAAGCAGGGTTCAGAAATGGCAAAAGTGAGATAGGAGCCTCTTAAATTGCTTTCAAAACTTAGGCAAGATTATATAGAAGAAGAGGATTCTGAAGATTACTTTGTGCTAAACCATTTATGTATCTATAAGACAAAACCAGCACCATGAACTGCATGCACAAATGAATCAGCAGCCAATTAAGCTGCCATGGCATAGGAATAACAAATAAAGCTATTTCTGTACAGTGAGGTTTGTACACCAGTCATATATGTTCAAATGCACTCCTGGCCAGTGCTGAGACAAAATCAAGTTTAAATCCAGGAACACCCTCCCCGTAGAAATCTGGGTCTTCAATGGGAATCTAACCACATTGAGAAGAGGCTGAATCTGTAATCCCCCGCCTGTCCCCTTACTCACCAGAAGCATGGATTCAACAGCTTTCTTAGACTGAGAGGCAATGAAAAGATAGAGATGCATGTCACCTGCATCACTGATGACACACTGTACTCCAAAACATGTACCTTACCTAGCAATTTCATGTAGATATTGAAGAATACTGGAGGCACCAGGCACCATCTAGGAATCCTCCTGCCCTTTGGAAAGATCCCTCCCACAAAGTACTGGATCCACTACAAAACAGGGCCCACCTCCTAGCCAAGCAATTGAGAAATACATAATGCCTTGTAGTATTGAAAGCTACTTTAAGGTCCAGTGGAATCAATAGCTAGACATCTCCCCAGTCTGCTGTCTAGTGCAGACCACAGCTGCTTCTGTCCCATAACAGTGGCTAGGGCCAAATTGAAATAGACAAAAACTGGCATCATTCTGACACACTTGCAGCTGAGATGACACCACAGTACACAGTGAAGACAATGGCCAGGATCAGACATAATAAGCCACTGCTGTGTGAACCCAGCCAGAATGGTACAGCAGTAAGATTGGTCTCCTCTCCCATGTCACAGCAATGCTGAGAGCAGCATGAGAAGGGTATTCTGGCATTACCCTTAACTTCTCTCTGCTCAGCCAGCCCTCCACAAAAGAACCATTCTTCATTTCTGCAGCATCATGGGAACTTGGCAGGCAAAGGTCCGCTGGGCCAGAGAGAAAAATATGCCAGCTGTTAATAAAGCCAGTGGTCTCTTCTGCACAGCTGTTGGGCAGCAAGACCAATGATTCCTTCCGACCACTTTTGCAAGCCAGAAAGGCCAAGTCTTGAGTACATAGGCATTATAAAGAATTCCTTTCCTACTACACTTGACCACTAATTTATGGTTCTTCACATGTTGATTTTGTGCGTGTTTGCACTTTACACTTTACACTTAAAAGATTACTTAAGAGGTAAGCATTGAACAAAACATTTTACTCTAAAAATTCAATTCCCATGATCACATTTGAAATGTGATGGCCTTGCACATATATATGCCTGTAAATACATTTTTGCCTTCGTACTATTTCAATTTGTGCATTGCCACCAAAACAACAAAACAAAACCCTAGCATGAGTCATTCTACAAATATCACATGGCCTGAAGCTTTCACAAGAAAGTGAAGAAAAACTGAGATTAATCAATCAATATTTGAAATTAGCAAAGAGAGGAACTGTTCAAAAGAAGAATACATCCAATTCACATATTCAAATCATGTAAAACTACAACCACCGCAGTCTCAGAACTGGTATCTCTGTAGTAGATATGTGATCCCTCTGAGCAATTGAAGCCAACAGATCTGAGAGAGAGAGAGAGAGAGAGAGAGAGAGAGAGAGAGAGAGAGAGAGAAGAGAGAGACTAAAATTTTAATTCAAAAGATACCATAATAACATACCTGAATCAATGCTTCACTCAGTTTCTCTTCATCTACTTCTAAAATGATATTCTTAATTTCCTCATAAGGCATGCGGAAAGATCCCAGGAAAATAGCTGAAATTAAACACCATAATAATACAAGACCATTGTTAAATATAGTTTGTAAAAGTGTACTATTACTTTCAAATATTTAGACAATCCTTTCCCACAACAATCAACTTATGATTCCCTAGCTTTGTGCAGTCTTTCTTCCATTCTAAAATGCTGACATACCTCCCAAAGCCTTAAGTACTAGCAGTAAACTCAATTTAAAAAAAAATCTTCTGCAGCATACACCACTAAATGTAGTTCTGAAAGGGTTTTTGGACCCATGGTCTGTGTTAACATAGACATACTTATGCTTCTTAAAGATCATTATGGAAGTCTGGGGATATTCTGTCATGTTATGGTATATGAAACTGCTTCCAGGGCTTTGGGAAAAATATTCTCAATCTATTTATGCCAAATTATATTCTAGGATATATTTTTATGCAGTGATCATGAGGAATATATCTGAAATGGTTTTAAACAAGGTGTGATTTCTTACATTACATTAAACAGAAACAATGACCCAAATTAACTTAATAATATTTTTAAAGAAAAATTTAGTAACAAGGATCAAATCCTAGGCCTTTAGGAATTATGGGCAAATGGACTCACCAGGCAACTAATATTAAGAAGCATCTGGCTTCTGAACTTGGAAAATAGTGTGGGAAAAAGCCAATCAAACAGATTGACCTGCTAGATTCGGGGGTATTATTCTTTATGTTTATGTCTAGAGTGTGTCTAGACCACACTCAAAAACAAACAGATTGTACAGCTAGTTTCCAGAAATGGAAGACACATGGTGCATGTGTTTACCATAGAGATGTATGATTACCACAAAGAGCTGCACTACTGAGGTTACAACCACAACCAGTATTCAAACACCTTAATTCTTATTCCCTTCAGCTTCTCTAGATAGCCAAGTTTAGAGGTCAGCAATATTACTTCCATTCTTGTTCATGCACAATAGCATGGACATCAGACAATTATCTTTGCTTGATCTGTACCAGATTTTAGCAAGTACAGAACATCCAAGATGACATAAACATAAATCTGGTCTCTCCTTCATTCCATTATGTAACCAGAGCATTCATGAAAGTATTTTCACCTACTGCCAACATTCAGAGTCACAGTAACCACAAGAAAATATCAATATTTACAGCTCTTGCCTCAAATCATGGAAGCTGAGCACCCTATGCTATCTGAGATACTGTAATGCAAAGCAGTCTCTATTTACCCTAACTGGAATTGAAATGGATTTAACTGGAACTGGAATAGATTTAATGGCTTTACTACACATTTGAAGGTATCAAACACCTTTTTAAATGCTGTTATTGTAGAACAAAAGTCATGTAAACTGAAACAAACTAGCACTTGCTGGTTGCAGAAGTATTTGCCCACTGAGACAATTCACCTTTGGCATCAATTACAGCTGTGCATCTTCTCCAGAAAGTCTACACCAGCTTTGCTGATCTGGATCCTGCAATGCTTGCCCATTCTCCTTGAAAAACTGATCCAGCTCTTTTAGGCTAGATGGGAAATGTCAATGTCTTACCACAGATTTAGGTCAGATTTAGGTCTTGGCTTTGACTAAGCCATTCTAAGAACTTCAGGTCCTTGTTTTTGAACTATTCCGGTGTTCCTCTGTGTGTGTTTAGAGACCTTGTTCTGTGGAAGGTGTGCCTCCACCCTGGTCCCAAGTCCCTCACAGGATGATATATGTTGCCCTCCATTCCGACCAGTTTCCCAGTCCATGTTGAGGAAAAGCTTCCAAACATGATGCTGCCACCACATTTCACTGTAGGGATAGTATTGTCTAGGCAATGTGAGCTCTGTGCTTTATGACAAATGTAGCATTTTGCAGCAAGGCCTCAAAGTTCAACTTTGGTCTCAGAAGACTAGAGAACATTTTCCAACATTTTTGCTGTGTCTCTGTTAACAGGTCTGGAAGAAAGAGAATGCCAGTGCTGCCCCCCGCTCCATTGTTTCCATCAGCAGGACCTTAGTCAAAAGGCATCTGAATCAATTTTACTGAAGGCTTTCCCAGTTACAGTCACCAAAAGTCCATTTGGACTTCAATCCGAATGGGGATTAATGCTCCACAAACAAGAACATGTTTGACTGTATACATCACAGAATGGATCTTCTCACATCCAGCAGAAAACCATTGTCTCCAAAGCTCCTGAATGCATAGCCTGTGATAAACTCAGGGCTGTAGCTTGCTTCCCCATCAGCCCCTCATGTTGGCTTGTCACTAATGCACATCCCTGTCCAATGCTCAAGTCTTTCTTACCTCTGAAACAGCACTATCAAGCTGCTTATTCAGTCAGACCCAAAGGGTGCCAATAAAGGGAACCAGCAAAGGCTTTCTTTTCACCAAGAAGGAAGACTTAACCAGCTTGTAAGAAGGAAGACTTAACCAGCTTAATCAGCCCTGAGGCTTGGTGTAACTCTCAGGGTGTCTGATAAGAGGCAGTGAGCCACAATGACCCTTCACAGTCTTCACATTGTTCTAGCAATGACTTTTTTTGCAGCTCTTCCATAAAGCCCACCTACATCCCAGCTTTATCAGAATTAGCATTGGACTATTAGTTACTTCTCTGATAAAGCCCTTCTTGGAGGGCCCTTCTGTAGGCAGAGCTGTAGTCGAGCCATATTCTTTAGATTTTGTATTAATGGATTTAACAGTATTCCAGGTGATGCTCAGAGCTTGTGACATCTTTTTTTATACCCCAACCCCAATGGATGCTTCTGCACAATTTTAGCCTGGAGCTGTTTGAACATCTCCTTGAACCTCATGATTCTGTTTATTCAGATATGTTCTCACACAAACTCTCGGGCCTTCCAGAGACAGGTGTATTTAATCTAAGGTCATGTGACACTGGAACTGTGCACAAGTAGATTCCATTCAACTACTTACTGTAGAGTATGTGTCTGCTGCAGGCAGTGGGTGGCATCAGAGCTTATTTAGGTATGTCACAGTGAAAAGGGCAAATATTTCTGCAACCAGCAAGTACCTGTTACTATTTACTTAACTTTTGTGCCACAATAAAAAATGATCTGCACCATTAGTGTTGAGTAACTTGCATATATCAAGGGACAAGAATGCCTATTAATCCATCATTGTAACACAATAAAATAGAAAAAAGAAAAGGGAAGGGTAAATATTTCTGTAAGGTACTGTAAATTAAGATATTTCACTATTTATGTTTACCCCAAAAAGCCTATTTACTGACAACAAAAAAGCCTAAACATTTGGTCTTAGACAAGCATTAGGTACAGCAAAAGAACATATAACATACACAGATTCTGTGCTGTCTTCCCATCCAATAATCTTAACTCTTTGACTTTCTTCTTAGGCATAGTCATCTTCTTTTCTTCGGTATCTTCCATTGCTTTTTTAACTACAAAACCAAAGTGACATTTATAAGTATAACATGTTTAAGATTTTTACTTCTAGCTTACATTTAAACCTTTATATGTTTGCATTTATGCAGGGTTTCTTACATTGTGATTAATACTTTATTATCATGAAGCAAGAAATGATCTTAGTAATGTTTTAGCTTTGCTTCAGAATACAAAAGATGTGCTTGGAAAAAAAAAACAACCAGTTGTGGGTTGAAGAACAATTTTATATCAAATGCAAATAGACATTATTTTAGGGTGAGACATAGCTCTTCTGCCCTTTTTCATCTAGAAGGTTTCTCTGAGAAAGCAAATGGGTTATCATAATGTCTAGCTTTGGCACATTAGAGCCTCCTACTGGCAGCAGCTATACAAAACTGATTTCTGGTTTACTTATTCTATGAACACACAAGTTAATTTAAAATACAGTCAAGGGAATGAAATGAGGTTCAGGTGTTGGGAAAGGCAGAGTTAAAGCCTTAACAAAACAAATCAAAAAGAGGATCTAAATTAAACCTGTTGGTAAGCAACCAAGATTTTGTTTTCAGTTAATGCTACGATCTATTTTGTGAGCAATAACGTATTTGTTTATCAAAGCTGGGAAGGAAAAGCTGATGCAACATGCTGCAAGAGATTGTTTTCCACCGTACTCTCACATTATGTACTGCATGTGCAGCTGAGAGGTAGCTGTATCTCTGAATTGCCTGTACCTGTAAACTAATGTATCCCCCTGAAAGAATCATTTTATTATGACACCTGCTTCATGCTCATATAAGTGACAATGATGTTAGCCAAAGTGAACCAGAAACTTAGAGGAAAATTAAACATAACCCATTGTCCTGGTGACAAGGAAAATCCCAAAGATGGTTGCAATGGTTCAGAGGCTTAATTAAGTAAAACTTCACTATTAACTGATCACAAAATCTGGAAGCACATGGGTTTTGAAAATTAACAGCTGTGCAATACTTAATGTATTCTCACACCTGATCATTAACTCAATTACTGAACTCCATTAAACATTACCTCTGCATGATTTAAGTGTTCTAATGTTAAGACAAAGCAAAACATTATATACCAGTGGAAGCCAGATACAGCAGAGGGCAGGGTTCTTTAATTGTTAAGCACAATAAAGACTTTCAGAAGGTACACGTCACCCCTGCAGAGCAAGCCGCACCCTGCCAGAATTGCTTGTTTCTGCTCTAAAGCAACTCAAGATACTAGAGCACCCAGTCCCCCGATTCTATCTTCACTGCCAGATTCTTATCACACGCCCATGGTTACTAAGCTCTCTAACTATATCAGGCCAAGAAGAGGTTTAGTTTCTGAACAACTTAGCAAATGATATTTACACGAAAGCCCATGAGGTAGACTATTTAAGTCAGAGCATAAGAACGCAGGAAGAGCCATCACAAATACAAGCAAGGGTTCATTTAGTTCACAGGAAATGCACAAACAGGTCATGAGAACAACTCACACTCCTGCCCATGGTGGCCAGGAGATGTTGAACATAGCAGACTGCCTGATACTTGAGACGCCATGCTGCCTTTAGGACTAGAAGCTACTGGTAGACTATCCTATCAATACCGTTACTAGTTTGTCAAGCCACTGTTAATGAGAAGAGATTTGCTTCCACCCACATAGTCAGCTCCAGATGTGGATTCTCTGCCTTGGCATATCCTCCGATATATGTTTTGGTGCATGTGGACTAACATATATCCCTGCTGAATCTCCACTCCACAAGTCTAACAGTGCTAGTTTGATTTGTTGAAGTTCAGTCTGGTTGATACTTTGCCCTTCTTCCTTCTCAAACGATGACTCCTGTTCCACACAACACCACACCAGCCAACAAGAAAGTGAGTTACCACAAAGGAGAAAGGTTCAAAATAAAGGAAGTATTGCCTTCACTCAGGATTGGCTTCATTTACTCTGTGCCATTGTCATACAGCAAACCCGATAGATGACATCACTATCATAAAAGGAAATGCTAGTTTTCAAAGAGAAGTATTTTGCTGAAATGCCAACAAATGGAAGATGGAGATGGGAAAATACTGACGAAAAACTAGTGGAGAATGAATACAGTCCAAGAAATGGCTTCTAAAAAATATTGCGGGGAGGAGGGTTTTTTCTGCTTTTACCAGATGCAAGGAATGTACACACTTTTACAGCTTCGAAGATGCAAGAAATATAATTACTTTTGGGGAGACACACTGTACAGGTTACTATGAAACAATGAAAATGAAATAATGCTCAATACCATAGTTACGTGGCTGACCTCTCCCCAATTAGGTTGCCAGCCATTTGTTCTCTTTGGACAATCATATTTTTCAGGACAGTTTACAATGAAGACATATTGTTCTAATGAACCATTCAATATTTAAGTTATGTCATGATTACAATCTTCCCACAAATAGTATCAATGTAATGTTTTGATGCTTAATGTTTTATTAACTGTTAAAATCCAAAAAAACAGGTGGGGGAGTCAATGATCTAACATCTATATTATAAACAAAGATTTACCTAATCAGTGTGACCTCCTGCTTGTTTTGTAGAAGTAATATTTAGTGTAAGACACAAAAAGGGAACTGATGTGTTTTGAAGGGCTGCACTATAATCAAATTCCCAAGGAGGAATTGTTCATAACAGTAAGAATTACTCCTGGTTCATATCAGGACGTGCTGCCTTCTCTTCTTTAGAGCACAGTACTGCCTACTTTCAGGTAAATTAAAGGAAAGAGAAAGCTTTTGCTCCTACAAGGGAGAGGAAGGAAGGAAGCATCCTTTGTGAAAAGCCTTGTCTCTGAAGTCATACAATTGAAAGGAAGCCAGTGCACACACACTTCATAACACATGGTCAGCTTTCAAAGTCTTTTAGGCAAAGTATGGATGTTACTGTTCAACATTTCAAATATGTCCTTTATTTCTCCATGAAATCTGTCTTCTCTCCAGATTCAGTACAAACAAAATACCTCTTAAATCAAGCATAGATTACAAAATATTTTGATGAAGAAGAGCTTCTAAAACTATGTATCACTTAAATGTTGCTATGCTGTTATATATAGATATTTCCAATGTAATTCATTACTTGAAAAATGGCCAAGAGGCAAATACCAATCACACTTCAGCTAAAATTTTGAAAGAGTGGGTGTAAAAAAGGTGAGATTTGAAATATAACAACTATACAAAAGTCCGAATCAGGAATGTTCTAAATGTCCACTGAAGCAAGGCATCACACTGACCAAAGCAATTGATATTAGGGTGGCTTTGCCTCAGAAACATTTGTTCCTAGTACAAGATTGATTTGGGCTGTTAAGTCAGCAGAGAGAAACTAATCCCTGCTTTGAACATATACTTAAATCTCCCTCTTCTTCACTTTACTCCTTTACTTTTCAACTCCACTCCCCAAGCACAATGAACATAGCTATAAGTGCAGGATTCCAAAACTTGTTTGGAATATAGACTGCAATTGCCAAAGGGTTCTCTTAACCATCCATAGGTAGTAAGCTCAGGTGTGGTGTAGTGGTTAAGATTGCAGAAATGGGACTCAGGAGATCTTGGTCATGGTCCCTACTCAGCCATGGAGCTCACTAGGTGACTCTGGACCAATCTCATACTATCAGTCCAAGGAGGAAGAGAATTATGTAAGCCACCGTGAGTTCCCTGGAAAGAAAAAAAATGTGAAACATAAGCATGATAAATATTTAAATAAATCATGTGTTCCTCACACCACCTCAACCTTATGGCAAACCTGTGAAGAAACGCCCTGCCCTTGCAGCCCTACTCTGCTCTCAAGGAAGCTGTTTCATTTACACACTTGATCCATCTCACAGTTGGTCTTTCCCATCTCCTCCTACCTTCAACTCATCTCGGCAATGATGTTTGCCTTCTCATGATGTGCACAAAGTTCATCATTTTTGCTTCCATTTTTGTTTGAGATTGGATTCCATCTAGGAACCACTTGTCCAGGGTAGTCATAAAGCTGTCCTCCAGCACCATATTTCAAATATAGTTAAAACGAAATGTGACCAAATCCTTCACACTGATATCTGTGGACTCTTTCTTATGCTTGCCCACTTGGTAAACAAACTGAGTCAAGTGCAGCAACACAAACAAAGGCATGTGGAGCGGAGGAGGACTGCACTGCAGTTGAATGGGGCTCTATTCCTTTCAAGCACCCCATGAATGGTGGCTGGACTTACCCAGGAACTCAGACTTAAGAACATGACAAAACAGATCCAACAGATTCTCACTACCAAAGCACATTCATCACACATTTCTACTTGCAAACATATCATTTTCTTCCTGTCGCTTGTCTTCACTGTTCCATTTTCAGACCCATACATAGTGATCAGGAATAAAATACTTAGGGCGAAATTGCCCTTGTTCTTGAGTGAAATGTCTGTATTTATACTTTATCATTCTAGTTCCTTCGTTGATGTTTCTCGATGCTAAGGTGTAACCCAGGGGGTGCGGGGGAACAGATTACTTGCCAATAGCTACTAACCAAAAATGGTCTGAGCATTTCCCACTTTGGGAAGCTAGAATTAGGAAAATTCTTGGAATTTCTTTAGTAGTACAACCGAGTCATTTTCACAGTAATGTTATTTTGATGGCCACAATCTGAGTGAGGCACATGCTCAACAATTTCACACTACTCCAAAGATTAACAATGGCAAGCAGTGAGTGCAGAGAAATGGCAAAAGAAGCCACTGATAGCATTATCTATATTCTGCTGAAGGAAATATGAGACAGGATAAATCTGCAATAGCTTTTCATTACAGATTTTCAAAGCACCTGCTAGCCACACCCATTCCCTCAATTAAGTAAACATCTGTGCGATCTAACCACATACATACGATGCCACCTGGAAGGGATGCAAATTGTTTATTTATCAACTCCTGCAGTGAAAATCAAGTGTGTCTGTTGCATTCAAATCTTCCTTGTAATCATAAAAGCCAACAATCCTGAGAAGCGCCTGCTCCCAAGGAAAAGGAATATTCATT